CAATCTCCTTAGTAGATCTCGTTACTAATTAGAGCTAGAGACCTGAAACTTTCAGGAAAAGAAGATCTTGATTAGATATATAAATGATAAAAATTTCAACTCCATATGGGAGATAAAGTATGAAAAAGCTGTTAGCGCAATCCCTTGCGGGATTAAAAATGTGAAACACAATGTAGCTGCTATACCCGATGTTCGCAAAGCTGTTATTTTTATGCATATTGGGGTATGTTTCTTCATAATAGTTTACCTTACATTATAGACTTTCGATAGGATAATACTCCATATATGCTCCAATCATATGTTACTTATGCATCATCTCTGATATTTCCTTGAAGTCTTCTGTCACGGTTTATAATAATCCCTGAGCCCTGTCTGTGACGGGTGCAATATTTCTACTCATAAACACTTCAACACTCCTTTCAAATCGTGTTTCACAAAACGCCATTGACTACTTATCCTTAGGTATAATTAGACGACTCTTTATGGTGCCTCATAATGCTTTAAAAGTCCAGTATGAGGATAAATCCTTTATATCACATATGTTATCCTCGCTGAGCTCTACAAAATGGCAAGTACAAGATTCAAAATGGAGCATAACGTCTGACGATTTTCCCTCATAAGTTACAAGATTTTGGAAAGCCATTTTTCAATGTCCCAGAACTTTTTGCGAGGACTGTACATCAAGCCAATCAAAATTCACCATCGCACCTCTAATTGTAGAGGGCGCACGATTAAAAAAGCTAGAATTAAATGATATGATCAAAAAGCATATGACTGATGTTAGAGTATGTGATATTCAACTTAGTCGTTCAGGAATATTTACATTATATGCTACAGATGTTAATTCATTTAATCGACTATTGAATGATTTTACTCAGATCCTCGCTGCAAATGGTCAAATCACAGCAAAAATATTTGTACCTCGATCAATTCATAGAATTAAAAATATGGAAAAAGTTGCTTTCGTCAAGAGAGTTGACTTAGAAATTTCGGAAACCAGAATTACTGATGTATTAATGGATACACGATTTAATGTTGAAAGTTTGTTAGATTAACAACCAAAGATAGAAAGATGCCGACCCGAACAATTAATATTCTTTTTAATGATTCTCAAAATAGAAATGCATTTATACAAACTGGTTTACAAATAGATTCAATGCATTTTCTAGCTGAACCTGCAATGCAAAATAATAAACCGGTACAATGTTATCTATGTCTTCAATATAACCATATGGCAAAGTATTGTAAAACAAAACAACAAGTATGTGCTCGATGTGGTGGAAAACATCACGTTGACTAATGTACTGATCCACAACAAAAACTAAAATGCTGTAATTGCCAAGGTGATCACTTAGCAACATCACCCGATTGTCCAAAATTTAAAGAATGATAAATCAATATTCATCAACAACATCACAAACAACAATAAAAGCTCCTGATCCCAATAATGTAGTTGAATTTCCTTTC